GGACTGCGTGGCTGGAAGATGGGATTGGGGAGTGGAAGTAGGGGAGAGAGAACCCTGGAAAAACAGTCTGAACCCTGAAAGATTGAATACTGTGAATGGCCAGAGCTGGGCTGTCAGGAATAATCTGGAAACAGTGCCAGCTGGATTTCAGGGAGGAGAGAGATGTCTCTGTCATAGGACATGGTAAGGCCTAAAAGCTAGGAGAGTGACCAAGACCATGAATATGAGGAGAGAGAGATTATGAAAGTAGAATTAGCTGGTAGGCAGAGGAACCCTCTGGATGGAACTGGAAGGGGGAGGATGCTGATGCCTTAGAAGGAACAGAACTGTCTAAAGCATGGTTCTCAAACTTCAGTAGGCCTCACAATCACCTAGAGGGTTGTTAAAACAAAGTACTCCAGCCTCATGCCTAGAACCTCTGATTCAGTAGGTCTGAGGTGGGGCAGAGAATTTGCATTTGTAACTAGTTCCGGAGGTGCTGGTCCAGGGATCATACTTTGAGAAGTGCTCATCTGGAGGATGGGTAGATTTGGGGGCTGTAAAACAAAACATTGGTTTGGTTTGGGCATGTAGTATTTTGGGGGGGAGGAGAGGCATGTCATATTTTATAGACAGTGTCTACTGGGTAGATGGAGCTCAGAACTGGGTCAGTACTGGATGCAAAGTGTGCAAATCATAGGCAGGAATATGTCTGAAGCTTGAGGACCGGATTGGTAAACAAAGGACTATGTGTAGATAGAGGAGAAAAATGTGGGTAGGAAAAGAGAAACCTGGAAAATGCCTTCTTTCAGGTGCCAGGAGGGGGAGAGATGAAAGGAGGCATAGGCAGAAGTAGAAGATTTAGAGAATATTGCCCTGTAGCATGGGCAAAGATAATTTAAGGGCAGGACCATCAACAATGTCGAATATCGCGGCATTTGAGCAAGAATTGATCACCATTAGGGATGTAGAAAGTTGTTGTGGAAACATGCTTACCTGCCCGCTCAACAAACCCATAGAACTGGCTCCAGGGAGGGACACCGTGACATCTTCACTGGCGTCTCGGTAAATGGGATGACCCAGGGGAACCAGCTTGGAAGAAAAAGAAGTTCAAGTAGTAAATAATCACCTTCACTAGACTAAAAATACAAGAAGAGGAAGGGTTTTAGAGAACTTAACTGTCAAAGGGGAACTAACACACTTTGGATTCTATCTGTTCTGCCTTAATTAGGTGCCTCTCTATACCCTTCCCCACCCCCCCCATGTGTATATATAGATACATCTGTACATATATATTTTAAGCTAAACCATAATCATGTGGTTGTGGTAATATAAACTTTATATGCTGTACACATTATATTAAAATGATTATAATGCATAGCAGGCTTTTTTTTTTTTTTTTTGCTCTCTTTTGGTCTGAAATCCAGTAACTTACAAGGAGCTGTGACCAGAACAACATTTTAATATTTGAAGTTGGAAAAGAAACTTTATCTGCAGAATATTAGGCAGTTTTTAGTTTTTTACACATTAATTTGCCTGACATGTAATTACAGGAGGAAACAGAATAGGAAAATTGTCTGCTCGGCATTTCAGGTAATGTTGTTTTTTTAAGGTGGGCTCCACCGTTTCATTCTAACTCCGTCCTGGGATCCTGAAAGCAATGCTAAGGCTATGTGAACTGCAGTTATCCAGGGCTTAAGTCTGTTGTGGAGAGGGAAGGGCTACCTTCTGGCTGCTTCCTTTTGCTAAGAATCCTGAATATTTCAAAATGAGAAATGTTCTCATTTCTGCTCCATTATAAATTCCCTTCTGGGCTTGGTAGCATGTTAAAGCATTACTCCTGAGAAACATTTAAACATGCCAACTGGGAGACCTGATTCAGTTCACTGAATATAAGAACTGGTACTCTGAAACTTGAGGAAAAAAATAAACTTTGCATTATCTAATTAGGTTTATAGAATTGCTGCAGAGCAGCCTGGTTTCCCAAATCTAGAAGGTACAATTAACTGCAGTATTATATCAATACCAACTAGTCTGCTAATAGGCTTCCAAGCAAAGCAATTGGAATTTGTTATTACCAAGGATATTTTAAACTGGATGAATTAAAATTAAATCACATACTTTTGGGAGCAGTTCTGTATGAGAATAAAATAAATGACCTAATCATTTTTTAATCTTTAATCTCTTATTGAGTCCCTACGTTTAAGAATACATTCGGGCCTCAAGAGGTATGCTACTTTTCTTTAATAGTAAACTTACGTGCTTAATGATTATCTGGCTTAAACATGATTTTAGCATTTGTATTTCTTTATAAAATATCTTGCAATTGTGTTAGCACTTCAGTATTGAAGTACTTTGAAAACTACCACATATTCACTGGTAATGTGTACACCTTGTAAGAAGAATTGGTGTTAAAGAGTAAAGAGCACTGGGTGTTCTGTACAACTGACGAATCACTGAACTCTACCTCTGAAACTAAGAATACACTATGTTAATTAATTGAATTTAAATAAAATAAAAATTTTATTTATTTTATTTTTTTAAAGATTTTATTTATTTATTTGACAGAGAGAGAGATAGCGAGAGAGGGAACACAAGCAGGGGGAGTGGGAGAGGGAGAAGCAGGCTTCCCGCTGAGCAGGGAGCCCAATGTGGGGCTCGATCCCAGGACCCTGGGACCATGACCTGAGCCAAAGGTGGACGCTTAACGACTGAGCCACCCAGGCGCCCCTAAAATAAAAATTTTAAAAAGCGAGTCTTAAGTAGACATTAACTGAGAAATTGCCAGCATTTCTATTTTTTTAGACTCTCTGTAATTATCCTTTGACTTTTGATTTTCCTTTTAATAGAAACCACATACACGCAGATACACACACACTGTGATAACATACTCTTTGATGTGAGCGAGGTTTGCAAATAGCTTTTACAACTGTGTGAATGCCTGACTCCTCCACCTACCTGGAACCCTTGATTTCAAACTAAGACACTGAGGCTAGCTATTGAAGTGAAACAGTAGTCTCAGGTTCTCAGTATAGTTTAAGAGACACTTTTGAACAGCTTTATAGAATTTTAAGAATTAACACTTGTTGAAGTAATATCGTATCAATATAATATCTTTATGCTCCTGAGGATTTCTTTTTTTAATAAATTCTCTAGAAAAGCTAAATAGAAAAAAAATAGAACAATAAAGTACAATTTATGTTATAAAAAATAGTCCTTAAGTCGTGATACTTGAAGTGCTCTAGAGGTTCTTTATTTGTCAGCACTTCTGCATTTTAAATAATTTTATTCTGTGGAATTTAAAGTAAATATTTCATATGCATTTTATTAACGTGTTATTGGAAAAATAGTTCCCTTAAAACCCTTGAAACAAAACAAAAATGATCAGTATACTTGAGTCATGTAAGTTTGGTTTTGCCGGACTAGATCAAAGACAGATAACAATAGATAAGGGAAGGATGAAGATGTTCAGATACAGAAAACTGGGAAGAAGCAGGAGATGTAGATTCCATTTCTATTGCGATATATAGTTTATTAGTCAATTGTATAAACATTTCAAAAATGACTCAGGAAAAATCTAATAGGTTTAAATCAATTAAGTTTTTATTTGCTTGATTGTTAAATGCAGCTATGACAAATACCTAGAAAAATGTGCCATACAGTATATCATACCAACTGGAGTTTTTTGTCAATAACAGCCCATGTACCTATGAAATCAAAGATTGACTTTATATAGCCATTTCAAAACTTGTCTTAAGACATTTTCTGAAATAGTTGGCTTATTAGGTATAGGTTCCAATTATGCTCACTTGGGAGGACTTAAATCCAAACCTTTTCCCCCAATATTTCCTCTGGCAATTGAATGTTTTGCTACGCAATTCTTATTAGACAATTTAATCATTATGCTTCTTAAAATTTAATACGACAGGATTAGTTTTTTAATCTCTAACACAGTAAGGTGTCTTCGTATAAGTCAGTATTTGTTACCTTTACAATCTGTTTGCAGGGTTTTACATCTTTTCTTTTGAAAGAAAGCATTTAAAACCTCCTGTTCAAAAGTCTGCTAACTCTTGCCAGGGTGATTTAAAATGAATAAAAAGTCCATTAGGCTTTTGGCAAATAAGCTCTCAATTATGGTACGGAATAAGTGACTACAAAGTGCTTTTTAGAGTAATGGAATGGAAATGACTGAAATCTTACTACTTTGTACGTGTAGATTTTTCTACTATTGTTGAGTGTTTAGTTTAAGCTAAAAGGATCACTGTCAAAATTGGAAATTTTGATCATTTAAAATGTGTAATTACATTTTAACATTTAAGCAAAGGATTAGAGGAATGCAGAAATATAGGCATGCAGTTTCATTTACTACTGCTCTGTGTGATGGTCTCAGGAAATTTGAAGTCCACTGTTTGTAAAAGAAGGTTGGGGGAGAGTGTTGCATTGTGGCAGTCAATTAAAATAAATTTGCTTACAGTTCAGGGAGATCCTTGTGGGTGGCAAAGAGAAAAATACTTCTAGCAAATAGTTTTCTGAAATTCTCTCTTCTAAAAATGTGCTAAATACGTGATTTCCAAATGCCTTGGTATTTTAAAGAAATACATTTTCTGTATGAAATTAGGATAACTCTTACTCTTTTTTTCGTAGTTAACATTTAGGCTGCAAACCATGGCACATATAACTTCTATTTTAAAATAAATGTAGTGGACATGTGATCACAGTTGTTAATTGAAAATTTTGAAGAGTGCTGTCAAACCTGCAAAGGTAATAGAGCCCCAAATACCACACCTCTTCCCAGGTCCTGCTCTTTTCTGAGCTCAAGAACTGGCATCTGCAGTATGGGTCAGAATACGTCTATACTACATGGGTATTCTCAGATTATTTTTTCAGCATCCTCTTTGAAGTCTGAGGAAAGTTTTAATGAACCAGGGCTTCATTTCACTTTCCATGAATTACTAGGGCAGGAAGAGTGCCAGCCAGTTCTGCTCGAGCAGCCCACACCTATGACTAACCTGAAGAAAATCTCAGCCAGAGAGGCTAATCAATCATTTCACCGTGGTACAATCATGTTTTATAAGAGGCGGATATCATCCTTGACTTCTGCTCAGTTAACTGGTAACACTAAGAGAAAAGCAAATGTTAAAATCATTATTATACGTTGGCAAAAATCGCTACCTGAAGATAAAGTGAACGGCTTGAAACATGTATGCATTTGCATCTACTTCTTTAGCCTAAATAACAGGTGCTTGTGTTTAAAAGCAAGTATGTTTTGTGCAATGAGTTATGACTCAGAAGAGCTGATGAAATGAAGAAAGAGTAAAAGGAAATCCTAAGTAGAAATTAAGGTATAGATTTTTAGTATAAAATACCAGAAACTTAAGGTAACAGTAAAGACAATATATGTATATTCAGTATTGTTTTCTAATGAAATGTGATAACTTTCCTACTATTTTTTTCAATTCTTCATGAAAGTAACTGAAATCTATTTTCTTCTCCCTTGGAACGTAGGATTCCTTTGGTTGATTGTGAGGCATTTGTTGAGCAGTTGGTCAGTTTCTTTGGGTCCCAGTGGGTGCTAAAATGTGAGAATGATTCTTTCAAGGTTAAAAAGGTCAGCCATGTATTTTATTGACCTCAAGGTAGCTGGAAAAACCTAGCCGCTCTTTGGGGACACAGTGCCTTGCCTCCGAATGATGAAGCCAGTAGCTTACTCCTAATTTCTAACACAGACAGATGTTGCATTTTTTGAATATACCTCATTCTTTTTCATTAAAGACAACTAAACCTTCACAGTCCTTTATCATACCTGTAACTCTTGTGGTGAGTCAGCACTAATGAAAAAAAAATTTCATTTCTAAAATAGAGTTAAAACGAACTTTTTAAAAGAACTTTGTGCTCTTTCTGTAATCTCTATACACCCCTACCCACAACTCCTCTTATGCGTCTCACTTTAACAAAATGCTCTAAGAAGCTGTCACATCCTGTGAATACTGACTAGGAATGGAAGAAAAATTAGAGTTTTGGTTTTCTTGTAGGAGATTGCTTTCTGTCAGAGACTGCAGATTTTCCTTGGTCGGCATGGGCTTAATTTAAAATTGCCTCCTATATGCAGTGATGAAAATCAAATCAAACTTAAAATACTATGTGGAACATTTTCCTGAATGTTTTTGGAAAAAAAGATTTAGAACAGTGGTGTTGCGATTTTTGAGATGCTACTGTTCTGAAAGTTGAAGTTTCCATCTCTTTTCCATTCCTTCCGTTTCTCATCAGGTGACTATAGACACTGGTCCATTTGTCAGAGTTTAAGTGGTAAAAAAAAAAAAGATCAGAAAATATACAATACCTTAAGTCAGGTTCCTGATTTATTTCTAATGCCTTCCATTTAGATATAGATTTGATTTACTTCTTTCCTAAATTCATGGGCCAGTCCTGATACTCATCGTTGTACACTCGGGATATCCTAAATAAAAACATTTAAAGACATTTGTAATAGATGACTGACACTCAAAAAAGTAAAACAATAACCATAACCCAAACTGTCATGCTTTAGCTGGTTTGTGGTGAAGCAGAAAGCATGAGAAATTTGCTGTGTTTCACTCTGCTCATCATCACTTGGAAATCACCCAGAGAAGACTTAGATTGGCTGAATTCTCTTCACTGTTCTGTGAAAGCATGTAGCAGTGTGTGTGTCTTCATTAAATACATTTAAAGAGTGAATGGTACACTTAGTGTACCTGGAAGTACAGGTACTTAGTGGCACCTGGAATCTTGAAACGACAATGTCTCTTATATGTTTAATTTATTGGTAAGAGTGAAGATGAGTAAGTCTCAAAAGGAAAAATGGAAGAATTCCTTTTGGGGAGGGGAAGCTAATATCCTCTAGGATTTGGATTACTACAATTTCTTCACTGAGAGAATTCCTTGATCTTCTAAGAATAAAGGTACTACATTTGTATGATTTTATAATACCACTTCAGTGCTTCTTGTCTCAGGCAGTATAATGAATTAAAATGCATTGGATGTTTAGCACAAGCTACAACTCAGGAATACTCAATGTAGAATTTCGTCCTGTAGGCCAGTTATCAGGAAGTAGTGGGTCAAATCTGTGCTGCCTGGGAAAGTGTTTTATTTCCTTCTGTAAGCCTTAGAGCCTGCCCATCTTGGATTTCTTGCTGATTTGTGAACTGTAACTGTTTTTGTTATGTAAATGGCCTGCTAGTCAAGGAAGAGATGGAAACTCTTGTTTAGGTTTGAGAGATTCAGCAACCTCATGGTTTTGGAATAATCTGATACTTCAGTGTTGTTTTCTTGTCACTATCTCATTGAGATTTTGAAAAACCTACGGAAGTCCCTAATTAATAAAAAAAGGATTCGTAAGGAAGGCACATTCCAGTTGATGACCATATTCCTTACTAGGAAGGGGCAGGGAGTTTGAGCTTTAAGGTGTAGGAGGAAGGGAAGGTGTGCCATCTAAAAGGGGGAGGAACCTTGTACTGTACGTAGTACAAGGTCATGGTTTGGACGAGTCATTTGTGTTGGGAGTGGGGAGTAGGAAAGACAGGGATTTAAACCACGTACGTGTTTTTTCTTTTAAAAAAAAATCGGGTTGATAACTGTGAACAGTAATCCCCATAAATAACTAAATATCCTGGGGAAATTTTATTGATGTTTAAAATGTAGCTCCTCAAGAACAAGGCGGATTAAAAATAAAAGCTGACGTCATTGTATAGTAAAAGTCCACATGGACTCTGAACAGGAGTTGAAATCCTGTTATAAATATTGTGAATAGCTTCAGTCGGCTCGGCCTAGTGACTTGACTTCCCTGAGCCTCCTCTTATTCCTCTGTAAAGGAAACAGGGCACTGTTTCTGTGTTTGCCTTAGGGTGAGGTTACCAGAGCTTCTAGGAAAGCATTTGACTTGCAGTTTTACACTTGTCTCCCTTTCTTTCCCTTCCTTCTTGGATGACTATAACCTTTTGTACATAGTTTCAAGAGTGCTTAAATGAATGAAATTACTTATATGAATTTGTTATGAATTGGTGAAAAGGGGCTGAGTATTTTTCCTAGACTGTGACTTTTGCCTTAAAAGTAATATCCTTCAAGGAACCAGTGTTCTAAAACAGGGAAAGAGGAAAATGTTATTGTTTATTTACTTTTAAAATATACTCTTTTGGGGGGTGCCTGGGTGGCTCAGTCCGTTAAGTGGCCGACTGTTGGTTTTGGCTCAGGTCATGATCTCAGGGTCCTGCTCAAGGATTCTCTCCCTCTCCCTTTGCCCCTACCCTGCCCCCCCCTCATGTGCGCCCCTCCCAAAATAAATATTTTAAAATATACTTTTTTTCTGAATATAAATATATATTCATTGTAGAAAATATTAAAAAAGTAAAAGCAAACGAAAAATCCCCTATAATCCATTTTACTCAAAGCTAATTATGATCTGTTTGGTGTATTTCTTTTTTTTTTTTTTAAAGATTTTTATTTATTTGTTAGAGAGAGCACAAGCAAGGGGAGCAGGAGAGGGAGAGGGAGAAGCAGGCTCCTCACTGAGCAAGGAGCCTGATGCAGGACTTGATCCCAGGACGCTGGGATCATGACCAGAGGTGAAGGCAGACGCTTAATGACTGAGCCACCTAAGCATCCTTGTTTGGTGTATTTCTTGTCCAAATTTAAGGGTACACCCAGACTACATATATGCTACTTTGTAGATTGCCTTTTTTATTTTACTGTAGAAATATTTTAATTTATATATTGTTTTTAAGAACTACATTGTCTTGTAAACTCACCTGTTAACATCTGGTCATTTTAGCATGGAGATGGTTTAAGGGAAGAGGGCATTAGGAAGAAAAAAAAAATACCAGTGCACTGGGAGTTACAGATCCTAAATTGTGGTGGACAGCGTATGTGCAAAATTGTTTTCCCACCTGCCCCTTAAAAAAAAAAAAAAAGGCAGGAGTTTGATTCCAAGTTTTGCTGTTTAATTTTGGGTGCCTCTGGCTAACCCACCAATTAAATGGAGCAAAACAAGTGATCTGAGGGAGAACAAAACTGGAAGAGCAACTATTGAAGCTACTTATTTTCCCTATCTCTTCCTTATTCTTCCCAGAAGCCTAGTCTCCAACTTAATGTTGAGTTGTGGTTGCGGAACATTCCAAAGCTTTTAAACTTCTGCTTAGTAAGTATTAAATCCAAGTCACTGCCCTCAGGTTAATTATGAGGTGTGGTAAATACATTGTTTTCTTAATTTTATTAACTTTGTTCCTTTTGTCTCTGTTGTGAAGACCAAGTTTTCTTTCTGCAGATTCGACTTAGCCACTCCTGGATTTTCTTAAATATTGTGTTCCATATTCGCATTTAAAGATGAAAATTATGCCCTTTCTTTTGTTGTGTAGTTGGACTACACCTATGTCACTGTACAGTGATAAGGCTCTTTGTTTTCCTTGAATTTTCTTTTAAGCACACACCCTCTGTTTGTTTATACTTGTATATAGTAACATAACAGGTCAGTGCTGTGGGAGCAGAATTCTGGTGTGAAAATTGATTGAACATCAAATACTAATAAGGAACTTTTATTGAATTCTTACTATGCCCTCTGCTAGGTGTGTTTAAATTCTCAATTTAGCCTTCTGACACTTTACAGATGAGGAAATTTGTGGCTTAGGGAAGTTAAATGCCTTGCCTGTCACCTGGCCTTGTAGGTGATGGAACCGGAGTTCGAACCCAAGCTGACAGCTAAGCCCACCCTCTCGGGCTGGATTCAGGAGCACAAGTCGCACTCCTGAACCATGCTCTGTGAACCAAAGCAGTGACTTTAAAAAGGGTTTTTGAGCCAATAGGGTTGAGAAATGTTGCATGTTATATCACCCCCTCAGAGATTTGCAGGGCACATTAGTATGTTAAAAGCCCTGAAAAGTCCTACAGGAAATAAAATTTTAAGATTTTTTTTTTTAGCTCATCTTTCACAAATTGACCTGGTCATTGATTCGGTCTGTAAAGAACTCAAGCATCCTGAGAGAATGGTTGGCTAATAGCCCAATCAAAGTAAGGGAGTTATTTGGGTGATGTTACTGCTTCATGCTCTGACGATAGATGCGGCTATCTCCAGAGGAAGATTCTAACTGCCTGGATTTGCTGAATTCTGCCACTAGACTGTTACTTACATGTTCATGGTTGGCATGTCCTCATCCAACTGTGTAAATCTTACCATTCTTCAAGATCGATCCAGGTTTTGCCTCTTTGAAGCTTTAAGTACTTTAGTCCACTTGGATATCTCTAATCGCAGAAAAGTTCCTCGTTATGGGACATGACCATAAATGAATGTAATACTCTTTAGTACATAGCTGTTTTCCCAGTTGGTCTTAAGCTCCTTGAAGGTAGACCCTGTTTTGTAGTGCTCTCTTTGTTCTCTGGTGATTAGCCTCTGGTTCAATTGTCCTAGAGAAGAGAGATCCAAGTTGTTCTAGTGGCTTTTGTTCAGTTGACAAATACTCATTGTCTCCTGGTTATGACCCCTCCTGAGACCTGCATTCATTCTTAATCCTCAAACTTGAACTCATGTAATCATCTCATACTGACATTGGCAGCCCTACTCCCTGTGTTACTTTCCAACAGGACACAGCTCACTAATCTTGCTCTATCAAAAATGACTTTAGTTCTGTTGTAAAATACTATGTCTGAGAGCTTACAATTGCAGAAAAATCCTACTGAAGATTTAAAATAGGTTTCTTAGCTCCTGCTTTGCAGTCACCTACATCTTTCTTCATTGCCTTAGCAGCCCACTGAATCTGACAAGTATTTATACTGAGGAATTTCTCTTATACAGGGAATCCCAACATAAGTGGTTCCTTAATTTAGGTTTTGAGACAAATGGTTTTAAGTATAACCTGTATCAGGTTGCTGTTGGTATGGAAATAGGTGTCCAGTGCATAAATTGTGTTTCAGTTACTGAAAACTCCTTTCACGTCATTAAATTATCAAAACAGGTCCCCCAAACCAAATAATTGCTTTTATAAATATTTTGCAGGCACATAAACCAAAGCCATATCATGTATGTTATGTGGATAAATTTTTCTGCATAGGCAAGATTGAGTGATGCTTCTAAAATATGAGTAATAAAGTTTGCACTGAAAGCACCACCTTTTCTTTTAGAAACTCCCTATAGTAATTATGGATATTCATTCTTCGCTCCCAGGCACTTCTGTGTACAAAATTAACATCATCTGTCTTGACTGTTTTCTCTCTGTATTTAGTGTGCCCAAATGCCTCTGGGAGTCTTTGAATGTTACCTACTGGGAAACAGGTGATTTCTACCACCACCCCAAACTTCTTTGGGGGAAATATGAAAGGTCAAACCAAAGGTCCAGTTATCAGTTTGTTTTGTGGGCTCTCTGAATTTTAAGGGGTGATAACTAGATATTTGGGGTTTATATCCATTAGAATATAGATTTGACTATCACAGAAATCCAGAAAGTTAGATTTTTTTTTCCTCTTTGTACGTAGCCAAACTGATCAGCAACTCTTCATAGACCTGTGTGACCTCATCAGGGATCCATGCCCCTTCTCTCTTGTTCTGTTATTCCTAGAGAGTTGCTCTCCTCTACATGGCCTGAGATTACACCACCTTGTCCACATTCTAGCAGTAGGAAGGAAAGAAACTAAAATGGGAGTTTGTTTCCTCAATCTGTACATACTCTGTTCAGCCACATTCCATTGGCCAAAAGATAGTCACTCTGAGGCAAGTTGGAAATGTGTCCTTATTCTGGGTGGCCATCTGCATAGCTAAAAGTCAGAGGTTAGGGGAGGTGGTTAATAAGAGAAGAGAGGAATAAGAGAATGAGAGAAGAGAGGTATGGAAGTTTTTGCCACAACATAATAGCATGTAAGTGTTTAAATAAGGTTTGTAAAAGTCTCTCTCTCAAAAAAAAAAAAAAAAAAAGTTGTAAAAGCAAGGGTGAAAAGTCCCTTGTAGCTCAATTTTTAGTTGTACCCAGCTCCTTCCCTAGAAAAATCAGCATGGTCTTGGTATCTGGTATAAGTTTGGTCTTCTCACTCAAGCACAAAATTTATTTTTGCATTACTTGTTGATCCAAGACTCTTTTCAGACTTGTCTGCTAAACTCACATCAACAGGACCAGGTTTTTAAGGTTTTTTTAAGTGTTACCAAAAAGTCACTCTCGGAACCTTTTGCTGTTGGCAGTCAGGGGACTGCGGAAGGGGTATTTAGGTCATTGTAGGAATTAGCAAAAGTCTGTGGTTTTGCGTAGTAGCATAAAGAGGTAGGTCTTACAGTAGGCAAGATGTATTAGAGAATTGAAAAAGCAAAATTGGGGTATAGAGTGAAACAGGGATAGTGACCAAAAGAGCTGCCATCCCTAGGGCACGGCAAGGGGTAAGGGCATGGTGAAAAGGAAGAGGTTAGGATTGAGGTTGGGATTGTCAGGATTTAGAAGCTCACAGGAAGGCCCAGCAAGTTGGGGTTCAGATCTCTGGGGGTAGCATGGTGGGACCCTGGCCAGCTGCCTATTGTATCTGGAGAATATAATGAGGCTGTTTTGGGGGGAATCTGTAATGGAGCTGGGTTGGATAAATGCTAGAGACTAGAACCACTCCAGCTGCCTTGGCAAAATGCCTTAACTTTGACAGCAAACGAAGAACGAATCCATCCGCTTGCCTTTCTGTCTCTCTTGCGACCCCTGTTGGTGAAGCCTAACAGAGGCAGTTGGCAAAGGAGAGATGTTTGCCGAGTTCCAGACCACAAAGCAGAATATAGAATAGAAGGAGGAAAACAAAATATAACAAATGATATATATATATGTGTATATATAGTGGGTTTAGAGCTGAGACACAATAGTTTAATAGTCAACACAGTACTGGATATAGAGTCTTCCTTTAGAAAGTTCATGTGGGAAGGTTTGGGGCCAAATAGTTATCATGAGAAAAATCAGATCTGGACTGGATGCGATTCGGATCTGATTTCTTAATATAGACAAGAATAGACTTTCTTTGCCAAGTGCCACTTACTTGCATACTAAGTAGAACAGTGGTCTGCCCAGTCTGATACTGTCTTCTACCCATACCAGAGCTATTTTTATGCAAGAGATCATGACTTTCATCCTTTTATCTGTATGGGTTAAGGATGCAGCTTAGATTTTCCTTTCTTTCCTTTTGAAACCCGTTATGAAACTGTTACACATTTCCTTGAGGCTTTCTTGAGTTTATTTCTAGTATCTGTGACTCATTAAAAAACTACGTAGACTTTTTAGGTGTCTTGCATTGTGTCGAGCCTTGAGGATACAAAGATGACTAAGATACACTCTGTGTCCTCGGGGATGTGACAACCTTGTTTGTGGTACAAGGTGAATGGGAAGTATTATATGTTAAATAGTAAGATAGAATGAATTGTACCTGGAAAGTGGAAAAGAGCAGGCCCGTGGAGGAGAATTAACTTTTGGGCTCATCTTCAAAAGTAGGGCTTTGGTGGGCTGAGGGAGGAGTGTGTGTAGGTGTGTGTTCTGGGGGAGGGCAGGAAGTAGAAACTATACATTTGAGGGGAAAGAAGGAAATAATTATTATAATGGCATTTGGCACATGTTTACCAGTTTCTGTGTGAAGTAACATTATTCGGTTAGCCCTAAAGAGGTCCTTGTTTTGGCTTTGAGGGATTCTCCTTATTTCAGAATTTTGAATTTGATAGGCATCCTCCCTCCTGCCCCTATCTATTGTGACTTTCTGTACTTCAGCCATATTCTTGTTGAGATAGTCACCTTCATAAACTAAAAATTCCTGTTTTACTTTGCTTTCAAATCGAAGCTGGCTCATCTCTGTTTTTATATTAGTTGTGCCTCACAAAATAGTTTCAGGTTTCTATATATGGAGCTTCCCTACTTATAAAAGGCTGTCTTGAGTATTGGAATAGCTAACCAATGAAACATTGGCCCTGGCTACCATATCACTAGAAGAGGCAGGTCACTTTTATATGCACAATTGAGTTCTGGAATTGTCATCATTCTCTTGAAAGGGAGCAGAATTGGAGCACCTGGGTGGCTCGGTCAGTTAAGCATCGGACTCTTGGTTTCCACTCAGGTCATGATCTGAGGGTCATGGGATCGAGGTCCACATTGGACTCCACACTCGGTGGGAAGTCCGCTTGAGATTCTCTTTCTCCCTTTCCCTCTGCCCCCACCACCCCCCTGCTTGCACTCTCTCTCTAAAATAAATCTAAAAAAAAAAAAAAAAATAGGGAAGAGAATTAAAATTGTAGGGAAAGAATAAAAATTCACGTGCCTGAGCATGTCTCCTTCAATGTTCCTGTTTGTGCCAGTGGTTAATATTATATCCTCTGTATAACATGATTCAAGACATCTTTTAACATATTAAGTTCTCTGTCTCTATCTGTGGCATGGAAGGGAGAGGTCTATCCCATAGATACAGGTAATTGGAAAAGGGGGATCTAAGCTAGATCAACTATATTTTTGGTCCTGGGATTTTTGAGTTGTGGTGTTGTCTACTAGAGATGATGCAGAGTTGGTTGGTAGACATGGCACCATGGTCAACTCCTTAAGCATCAAAGTCACATACAAAGTAAAATTAAGGGGAGGAAAACTTAAAAGTCTTGCTGAGGAAACCAGTCATCAGACAAAGGAATGAAGTAGACTTTTGTTTCTAGAAGCAGAGAAGAAAGATGTTGTGGAGAGGGACAGACAAAAAGACTCTTCTGCCTCACAACCTCCTAATCTCCATGAGACCTGCCTGTTCTAACTGCAGACTAAGTTCTTCTGTGACATTTGCCTGAATCCTTATAATAAGTGCCCTTTTACTTAAATAGGTTTCTGCATTTTGCATAACAAATTATTAGAGTAACATACAGAGATAATCTCCTACTTTAACCTAAAGTAATTACCATCGTAGAAATTTCATATATAAGCCAGAGAGGAAGATTTTGAGTAGGGCCCTCAAGACACATACCGGAAGTTGTTTTGCCCAGCGCCTTTCGTCTTTGCTACCTCTGTCTTGTCTTTTCCCCACCTCAAATTTGTTTTTGAGGTATGGTGATTGAGGAAGATGGAGCATATATAAGAGTTAAGGCTTGTATAAGAGTAAAACTTGTTTTTCTAGAATTTAAGATGTCTGCCTTTTTATCAATCTTTTTCGACAGAAAAGAATCATTAACTATGACATGTAGTATGACTGTATATAGTATATATAATATGAAATTTGGAGAAATTTCTGTATAAATTAATGATAGCCTAGGAGACCAAAAAATAGAAACAAGGAATTCATATTTGTTAGCATTTAGTTTATTGCTGATGAGAACTACATTTTCTTTAATCAAAATCCCAAAACTTTATATATATAAAAGTTTATACATATGCACATATATATAATGTGTGTGTGCATGTGTATATATATATATATATATTTTTTTTTTTCCTGGC